ACACACATGAAACTGAAATAATGCAATAAACATTAATTTAACAACATTAGGTGTAACACTCAACCCTAATATACAAAACTGATAAGAAAAAACTAAGAAGAAACATAGTTATTTCAACAAAAAAACATCAAATTTGAAATGTAACGCAGGGAATTCTGGGAATGTAAATTTACGGTTATTCACTGTAAATTATACGGCCTTTTTCACTTCCAAAAACGGTATACTACCGTAAAATTAATGTCCAATACATGTAATGTCCAATACAGTTTTTCACCGTATATAGTAGGGGAATTTACCGTTAACCATTTAACAGGTTTTTACTGTAGCATTTTTACAGTCTTTTGCCGTTAAATTCACGGTCATTTTTTACAGTGTACAATGACTATTATATTTGCTTATACTTAGGGATTTGAATATACCCCTAAACCTGAGTATTACACTTGGTGTGTAACTTGCAGTGCTGGGTAGTAACTGAATATTTTTAAAGTAGGTTAGGTTACACATTATTTTACAGTGTCCTTGTTACAGTGTAATTGTGCATTTAAGTACTAAGTAATATTAATTAACAACATGCACTTACTGTAGGGTTAGGATTAGTGTCTGGTGTAGGGTTATTGCATGTAATTATGCATAATTTTATTTATTGAAAGATTACATATTATTCACACAATGGCAGCAAATTATTCATAATTTATTGATTCTCTGATGGCGGTTAATGGTCACATGACGTGTAGGTAAACAAACAAAAGATTAATTTTTTTTAAAATCAAAAAATATTTAATTTCCTGTTTTAGTATTTTATTATTTTAAAATATTTTTTAAATATACAATTTTTATGATATATTAATTATTAGCTTTTCTTAAACTCACTAACCCCAGTTTGAATTTTTTTGGTATATTTTTCATAGATAATATATTTTCTGAAATGAATATACAAAATAATAATTTAAATTATGTGATAAATGGGTCAAAAGTAAAAGTAATCAAAAAGTAGTCAGAATACATTACCTAAAATGTGTAATATAATAGATTAGGTCACTAACTATAATTTCACTAACTAGAAATCAGTAACGGTCTACAATTGTTAAAGGTCCCATGGCATGAAAATTTCACTTTATGAGGTTTTTTAACATTAATATGAGTTTCCCTAGCCTGCCTATGGTCCCCCAGTGGCTAGAAATGGTGATAGGTGTAAACCGAGCCCTGGGTATCCTGCTTCGCCTTTGAGAAAATGAAAGCTCAGATGGCCCAATCTGGAATCTTCCCTTTATGTCGTCATACGGGGAAAGGTT